CGAAAATTGCGGGAAGTGGCAGCAGGTGCTATCCCTGCTCCGTGACATGTGGGATACGACGATGGAGCCCTACGTCGGCAGCTGCATCGCTGGGATCAGCGCGAGCGAGGCAGGCGGGCAGTGGCAGCAGGCTGCATCGCTAGTCAGTGCGATGTGGCTGCATAATTTTTTGGAAGCCCGAAGAAGCAGGGGGAGTTGACGATGAAAGCCGACGCGGTCAGTTACTGAGAGCCCGGACCAGCTGTGCCAGTGAGACAGGCAGAGCGTGAATCCAAGATGTGCTTCAAGTCGCCGAGATGTGGGAGGGGAAGGCCTGATGCCCAGCATGAATTCTAAACTACTACCAGGACCGCTGCGTACGGTACGACCTGGATTCGCGGTGGCCTTTGCAGAGGCGGGTCTGGACGGCCCAATACAGCCCAACCCTCGATGCCATGACTTTTCGTGGCGTCGACCCACGCAGGTTTGGACCCCTTCCCCGGACCAGTTTTTCATACCGAGTCGTTTTCTGACGGCCCTGAGGCATGGCAAGGGCTCCCAGAGACCGAACATCGCGAAACACCTGCCGCCATGATTTTCGCATGACCCGAGGGGGTCTGGCGTGCGAGGCCCACCAGGGCTCCAGATGGCTCACGAGCCTCTGGGGTTAAGCCGGGCCTGTCCCTCTACAGGAGGAATATTCAAAAATAATCCAAAAATAGTCTGTGGACGATTTTAACATTAATTCTTTTGACAAATTTTGAACATGTATGCGTCTCTTTAAATTTTCCTTCAAAATCTGCCTGCAGGGCGACATGCCCGACCTAACTCTGGGGGTCGCCCAACGCTGGCCCAGCGCCCCAGCACGGTACACTGCGGAAGCCATGCGCCAGCCTTTGGCACGGCGTTGGGGTGACATTGCCGCCACCGAGCCGGGCTTCTGGCGCGACGCGCGGGCTGCAGAGCGCACGTGCTCCAACTTACTTCAGCTTTTCTCGGCAACAAGAGTTCCAAGCACCAAAAAAGCACCGGAACTGGATGGCTTTCACGCGTCGGGCCCTAGGAGGCGATACTCGCTCGACACTGTTTCGATACCTTTCTGGGTGATCGAAATTATGCTTAAGTCGGGCCTGTCCCTCTACAGGGGTAAGATTCAACAATAGTCAAACAATTAGTATGGGGACGATGCTTTGTTTTTTATTTGGCCATTTTTGAGTATGTTTGGCTATTTTTTATTTTTCGCCCAAAATCCGCCTGTAGGGGACATGCCCGACCTAAAATGATTTCTGGGATGTGGTCCATATGTACGACTGGAGAGGAGGAGGAAGAGGAGGAGGAGGAGAAGGAGGAGGAGGAGGAGAGCGGAGGAGGCGGAGGAAGAGGAGGAGGAGGCGGAGGAGGAGGAGGAGGACGAGGGAGGAGGAGGAGGAGGAGGAGGAGGGAGGAGGAGGAGGAGGAGGAGGAGGAGGAGGAGGAGGAGGAGGAGGAGGAGGGGAGGAGGAGGACGAGGACGAGGGAGGAGGAAGGAGGAGGAGGAGGAGGAGGAGGAGGAGGAGGAGGAGGAGGAGGGAGGAGGAGGAGGAGGAGGAGGAGGAGGAGGAGGAGGAGGAGGAGGAGGAGGCGACGAGGGATGAGGAAGGAGGAGGAGGAGGAGGAGGAGGAGGAGGAGGAGGAGGAGGAGGAGGAGGAGGAGGACAGGAGTAGAAGCAGGAGGAATAGGAGGAGGAGGAGGAGGAGGAGGAGGAGGAGGAGGAGGAGGAGGAGGAGGAGGAGGAGGAGGAGGAGGAGGGAGGAGGGAGGAGGGAGGAGGGAGGAGGGAGGAGGGAGGAGGGAGGAGGAGAGGAGGGAGGAGGGGAGGGGAGGAGGGAGGAGGGAGGAGGAGGAGGGAGGAGGGAGGAGGGAGGAGGGAGGAGTGAGGAGGAGGATCCCTGGGCTATCATTTTGGGGCGTCCTGGCCTCGCGGCCCAGGGCGCCCCAACATCATCTGCCGGGCGGCCCCCCCGTGGGTCGCCAGGGGTGGCCCCCCCCGCAGGGCCTCCGAGAGGCGAGCACCATATTTCGCAGGGTTATGAAGACTAGCATTTGATAGGGCTACTCCTGATTTCGTGATAAAGGGAGGGGGGTCTAATTTCGGGGGAGGGTCTCTTCCAGGCTATCTTGGAGGGCCTGGGGGGTCTGGGGACGATGTTTTGGAGGGTTCTCCCACGGGGGAGGTCTGAAATGGTTTGTCTTTGGTGGGTCCAGACCCCCTCCCTTTTATTACGAAATCTGGAGTACTTGTTTGCGTGCTTTCTGTTCAGAGCCCTCAAGATGGCGGCAAGCCAACCGCAGGATGGCCGAAGACCGCCCCAAGATGGCCTTGTACCACCCGAAGATGGCCCCAGGACCCTTCCAGATGGCCCGCAGGCCCTCAAGGACCCTGCGGTGCCCCCATGGGTACAACATGGCCCCAAGAGGCCCCCAAAGAGGGCTCCATCATAGCTCAAGGAGGCCGCGAGAGGGCCCCAAGAGGGAATCAAGACAGGACGAACCAGCGATCACAACACGCAAGCAGCAGAGCCAGTAGAAGCAGAGCTAGCGGCAGCAGCCAAGAGAGGCAAGTACCATCAATCAGCGGCACCAAGTTCAGTAACGCCCATATGGCCCCCATTATTCTCCCACAGGGCATTACAATGGACCAGCCAGCGAGCGCAACAAGCAAGCAGCAGAGTCAACATCAACAGCAGCAGAGCTAGCAGCAGGAGCCAGCCGAGCAATCAATCACCAGCAAGCAACTAAAGGTATGCATTAACCTGCAAGCAGCAACAATCGGCAACGGGATGACTCCACTTCATCAACAGTTGCTTGCGGATTCCCACCCAATTGCAACACGCACGCGCAAACAATGGTCGGACAAAATATTGGAATCAGCGCGTGCGAGAAATGGATGCAGTAGCAGCAGGGTCTGTCGCTGATTCGCGAGATGTGCGAGTAGAGCTTGGACCTCAGCATGGGATCGGGTGTGCAGGGTTCGCCGGCAACGGCAGTGGATCCTCCTCCTCCCTCCTCCTCCTCCCTCCTCCTCCTCCCTCCTTCTCCTCCTCCTCCTCCTCCTCCTCCTCCGCCGCCTCTTCCTCTTCCTTTTCCTCCTCCTCCTGCTTCTACTCCTGCTCCTCCTCCTCCTCCTCCTCCTCCTCCTCGTCCTCCTCCTCCTCCTCCTCCTCCTCCTCCTCCTCCTCCTCCTATTCGCGGACCGTGCGCCATTCGAGCAAAAATCTCCGATCTGAATCATCATCAGTCGCCCAGGCGTGGGATGCGCAGTTGGAGCTTTTGGCCATCCTTGCAATGCCGTGGTCCTAGTTACGCCTAATTGCGCCATGGTGCTTCAACGACTCCTGCGTCTCGGTCGCTGGTCGCTGTGGAGGGAGGAGGGATCGGGGAAGGATGAGGGGTATTTGAGGAGGAGGAGGAGGAGGTCGAGGAGAAAGAGGGGGGGAGGGGGAGGGAGAACGGAGAAGGGGAAAGAGGGAGAGGGAGGGGAGGGAGAGGGAAGGGGAGGCCATTGCGATCAGCGCCCTCCTCTCTATCACACCTGGCAAGCAGAGCGTCTTCGCCGCGCCACCACGCGTGCCGATGGGGCGGTGTGGACGTTTCGCCGGAGACTTCCTCACAAGGTTTACTCCAGATTTCGTAAAAAAAGGGAGGGGGTCTCAACCCTCCCAGACGAGAAGTTTTAGACCCCCCCTCCGTGGGAGAACCCTCCAAAACATCGTCCCAAGGACCCCCCCAGGCCCTCCAAGATAGCCTGGAAGAGACCCCCCCCCCGAAATGAGACCCCCCTCCCTTTGTTACGCAATCAGGAGTATGACCCCTGGGGCCGACACGTCCCGCAGCGACGCGGACGGAATTTGACGTCAGCTTCCTGCAGAGGGCACGGGTGCAGGCGCGAGGGCGTCTTTGGGGCTGCGCTTCTCGCCCCGGCGTCGCGCGCGCGCACTCGCCCTGGAAGTGTGCGCAGACGTTGCCCGGAGGAGGAGCGGGGCCTATCGGAAGTCACCACCCACCAAACCACCCCAACCCAACCCAAGGGCTTCGATTTGCCGTCATTTCCAGTGGGGGGGGGTCGGGGAACGTCGAGGAAACACATTTGGAACCCGTACCCCCCCCAACCCGAAATTCGGGTCTTCGGGATGGGCTGGGGGGCCTGGCAGGTAGTCAGGAAGGGGGGGCTCTGCGTGCTGGTGGAGCAGCAGGACACACACCACCAGCTGGGTGACAGTCTCAAGTCGGGCCTGTCCCTCTGCAGGAGGAATCTCTTTACAAATGGTGCAACAATAGTTTTGGGACGATCTTTCCACCATGTTTGAGATTATTTGGGATCATTGCTTGATTCTTTTTTATCTATCGTGCAAAATCTGCCTGTAGGGGGACATGCCAGACCTAATGATAGTCCTGGATCTCAGGGGGGAGGGGAGAGGCGTGGGCGGCTCGTCGAGCAGCTCCTTCACAACGGGCCCCTTATGATGAAGACGCCCACCGGAGGGCCCCAGCTGTGCACCTGTACCGATCCTGGCCAGGCCGATCTTGGACCCAGGATCGGTGCATCTGCCCCTTTCGCCTCTTCCCTTTCGCCTCTTCCCCCCTCTTCTCCCCCCCAAAACAGGATCGGTGCATCTGCCCCCCTGCCCAAGCCAGGAGTGCACGTCTGCGTGTGCACCCGTCCCTGGGCCCAGGAGGAGCCTGGCCAGGGCCGGTGCAGGTGTGCAGCTGGTGCCTTCCTCGCCCGTGCCTCTCAGAAGCGAGGCCCTCTCTCCAGACATGCGACGTCCTGATGTTCTCAGCACGGCGCCCCTGGAAGTCCGGACCCCTTCCCCCGGGACCGGTTTTTCATCCCGAGTCCTATTTGGACGGCCCCGGGGCCCGGCGAGGGGCCCCATGGGTGGAAAGCAGTGAAAACTTGCCGTCCCGATTTCTGCTTTCACGACGCGATCACGTCCGTGCCCCTCTCTCTCCTGGGACGCTTCCGGGTGCCGCGTGCCGAGCGCAGCCGCTTCGGCCGAGGCCGCGGGGCAGGCCGGGGCCGCGGCCAGAGGACAGCCGTCGCCCGGCAGCCCAGCGGCGGGCGGCCGCCGGGAGAGGGCGCCATGCAGATCTTCGTGAGCGGCCTGGCGGGCCAGTGCCTGGCGCTGTCGGCGGAGCTCCGCACCGTCTGGCCGATCCCCATCCCTGGTGGGCTCGCTTTCCACCGCCACCACCACAAGTAGGAGGGGGAGGGGGTCCTCCTCCCTCCTCCTCCTCCTCCTCCTCCTCCTCCTCCTCTCCTCCTCCTCCTCCTCCTCCTCCCTCCTCCTCCTCCTCCTCCTCCTCCTCTCTGTGCTTCCTCCTCCTCCTCCTCATCCTCCACCTCCTCTCCCCCCCCCAACCGGGCCACGGTGTCTCAGCCCCACCAGCCCACTTCCCAAGGTGGGGGCCCGTCCCGCGAAGCCCGAAGGGTCACGTGCGACTCCCACCCACGGGGGGTGCCGTCGGGCATTTTTGGGGCAGCGCGTCGCTCGGATGGTTCTGGCCCGCCACGCTTCAGCGCGACACGCTGCCCATTTCCTGCTGCCTGCCCCCTCCCCAAGTTTCAACGACAAGAGCTGCCACGAGCCTTCCGCCCCGCACCGCGGAGCAGCACGCTGTCCGCTTGCCAGGTTCGGGGTGCCGCCGGGGCCGCCGCGGCGACACGCCATGCAGAGGTTCTTGGCCGTGAGTCGGCCAGTGTGGCCAAGGCCATGCCAGTGGGGATGGGGATCTGCTCAGGAGCCTGGGGCGGACGTCGCGAGCCTTAAGCAGCAGATCGCCGCCGCGCAGGGCGTGCCCGCGGCCGAGCAGCGCCTCGCGTTCGGCGGGCGCGCGCTGGCGGACTCGGAGCTGCTCGGCGGCTGCGGGCTGCAGGACCCGCCTCAGGAAAGCGAGGCACACAGTGGCGCCCGAGGGAGGGCATACGGTCGGGAACGCTGGGATAGCGCGTCGCTCCGCCTGTTCTGGCCCACCACGCTTCGGCGCGACGCGCTATCCACTTCGCACTCCCCAAGCGTTCACGTCCCGAGTTTTTCCCAGCCTCTCGCCCCGCCGGGCGGAGCGACGCGCTATCCGCTCGCGAGGGATAGCGTACCGCCAGGGCCGCCGTGGCGCCACGCTGTCCCAAAACATCCCCACCGTAATTGGCCCTCGAGGGGTACAGAGAAGCTGGTGCCTCTTCCCACACCTCCAACGAGCTGAGACAGTCAAGACCTCGCTGGACCCCTGGGCTGTCAAGAGACGACTCAGGACGGAAAGCCTGCCCCGGGGGAAGGGATCGGGGCTTCTGCGGGCCCCGTATTGGAACATCGGGACGTCGGGTTCCTGGGAGGGTGGCGGAAGGCCGGCGCAAGGCAAGGCGGCGGAAGGGGGGGCGGCTCCGCCGGCGGAGAGGCCAGCGGAAGCTGGTGAGAGCATGATACTCCAGATTTCGTAATAAAAGGGAGGGGGTCTGGACCCTCCAAGACAAGCCATTTCAGACCTCCCCCGTGGGAGAACCCTCCAAAACATCGTCCCCAGACCCCCCAGGCCCTCCAAGATAGCCTGGAAGAGACCCCCCCCCGAAATTAGACCCCCCTCCCTTTATTACGAAATCTGGAGTAGGCGTTCCCAAGAGGTGGCAGCATTTTTGGAGGCAAGGTTTCCAGAGGGGGCGACATGGGCGCTGGCTGAACTGTCGGTCGATTTCCGTCATGTCCAGGATGCTGTGGTCGGTCTTCTGGAGGAGCGCGCCGATTTCGGCTCTGGGAACAGCGCCGACGTCGAAAATTCGCCTCCGCGCGAATATCCATAACAGCAGGAGTCAGTTATGGACCCCTCTTCATCCGGAGGAAATATAATGCATCCAGTACCCTGGAAGCGTTGCACTGGCACCGGGCGAGTCCAATAGGATCCGAGTAGGATTTCAAGTCGGATCACGATCGGATTCTGATGTAATCCCAATGGGATCCCACTGGGATCCCAGTAAGATCCCAAATGGATTCCAACAAGGTTCCAGTCGGATCCCTATTGCCTCCCAATAGGGTACCAATGATATACCCATCGGCATCTTATTATATTCCAAGAGCGTCCCAATAGGATCCCAACATCCCAATTATCAAGATTCCTAATACCAATGCCAAGCAATGCCAAGCAATGCCAAGCAATCCCAAGCAACGATTCCGAGCAACGATTCCCAGCAACGCCAGGTAACGCCAAGCAGTGCGAAGCAGTGCGACGCAATGCCAATCAATACAAGTGATTGTTAATCTCCTTGCTGATGATGACCCTGGGGTGGGGGGTGCAGGGTTCTCAACCCTTTCCTGCCTCGGCTCGATGAGTTGCGTGTGCGCGGTCGGGTTACAGAGGGGTAATTCTATGCATGACTACGCGATCTCGACGACGACGACGATGACGATGACGACGACGATGACGATGACGATGAGACGATGCCGACGACGACGATCGTCATAGTCATCGTCATCGTCATCGTCGTCGTCGTCGTCGTCGTCGTCGTCGTCGTCGTCGTCGTCGTCGTCGTGTGCAGTCCGGGCGCATGGGGGCATCTGCGCAAACACAGCCTGTATTCGCAGCACTGCGGTCGAGGAGCCCGAGCCGCGGGGCCGTGGCTGCGGATGCACGCTGCCTCTCCGCCCGTGCTGCCTGCCCTCTCCTCTCGTTCTCCGCACGCGTTGTTTGCCTTCCCTTTGTTCCTCCTTCCCCACCTCCTCTTCGTTCCGCTGCCGCCTGCCTCTCTCTCTCTCTCTCGCTGTGCTTGCACTGCAGCAGCTATGTGGGCGCCCATGCTGCCGAGCAGTCGGGCGATGACCTCTGCAGAAAGAAAACATGGTCTCTCCGCCCGCGAGGACGAGTCCACCGTCTTCCTGGGTCTGGACCTCGCAGGGGGCGGCAAGAAGCGCAAGAAGAAGACCTACACGAAGCCGAAGAAGATCAAGCACAAGCGCAAGAAGGTCAAGCTCGCGGTGCTGAAGTTCTACAAGGTCGACTCCAGCGACAAGGTGTCCCGCCTGCGCCGGGAGTGCCCGCACGAGCTCTGCGGCCCGGGCGTGTTCATGGCCATGCACTTCAACCGCTACTACTGCGGCAAGTGCCATCTCACGTACCTGATCAAGAAGGGCGACGAGTCCTGAGGGCGCCGTGTGCGGTGGCGTAGCGTCCGCGGCGCGGCGCAGAGCACAGCGGATTTCGGCCCCACGTGAACGGGGGACATTCCATTGGCCCTGTCTGCGTGGCCCCGAGGCAGGGGGAGACAACACCAAGGCGTACATCAAACGTGTGCAGCAGTTGCACGCGTGGAAGGCGGTTCCTTTGCAAGGTCGGGCTCCCACCCAAATCTCTTCAGGCTTTCACCGGCCTCACTGTGTGCGACAAGGGCAAGTGTGGAGGGCGACCTCTTTCAACATAGTGCTCTCGCTTGGCACTCACCTGGACTTAATAGCCTGTGCCTTGACTCGGCGGCGAGCGAGGTGGGGAAGTGAGAAGGAGAAGGTCCTCTCAGAAGGCGGCGGGGCTTCTCAGAAGCTCTCGCGTCTTCTGAGAGGTTTTCTGTGCCGTATGGGCAGGCTCAGAGAACTTCTCAGAAGGCCGAAGGCCGGGGGACTTCGAGCCTTCTGAGAAGGCCCGCCATTTCTCACTTCTCCCCTTCGCTCGCTGCCAATTGACAGTTTTCATGGCTAGCTCCAACCCCCAGAATCCCCCAATTCAAAGAAATCCCATCGAAACATCTGTTTGCTCGTTTATTATCCGAGAAATCCCAAACATCTGAGTGAAAGCACAGGGTATCCGCGCCCCTGCCATCGCAAACATTGTGTTGTCATGTCGATGATTTCCGCGAAGATAAGTGAGGAAGCCACGTGTTTTCATTGTTTTTTTTCGAATCTTTGGGACCGGGACTCGGAGCTCCCATGAGGGCTCCTGGGTTTGATTTTCGCTTTAGGGAAGTCAAAAACATCCATATGAAAACACATGGTTTCCTCACCTCTCATCCCAGAAATTCCAAGCAACCGAATGTAAACACAGCGTTTCCGCACCCCCGACATCGCAAACCTGGTCTTTTCACAGGGATTGTGTTGGGTGTCTGGGTGAGAGAGAGGGAGAGAGAGAGAGAGAGAGAGAGAGAGGGAGAGAGGGAGAGAGAAAAAGAGAACGAGAGAGAGAGAGAGCGAAACAAAAGAGAAAGAGAGGGAGAGAGAGGGAGAGAGAGAGAGAGAGAGAGAGTGTGGTAGAAAGGGAGAGAGAGAGAGAGAGAGAGAGAAAGACAGAGAGAGAGAGAGAGAGAGAAAGAGAGACAGAGAGGAGGAAAGGACGAGCATCATGTCGTATGTGAATGCCGGTCAGAATTGGTGCCGGGGGGTGGGGGGGCTGCCCATGCATATCTATGTATATGTACAAATATGCGTACATTTGTATGTCTGTATGCATGTCTGTGTGTATGTATGTATGTATGTATGTATGTATGCATGTATGTATGGATGTATGTGTGCATGTATGTATGTATGTATGTATGCATGAATGCATGGATGTATGTATGTATGTATACATATATATATATGTATGTAGGTATGTCTGTCTGCCTGCCTGCCTGCCTGCCTGCCTGCCTGTATGTATGCATGCATGTATGTATGTATGCATGTATGTATGTATGTATGTATGTATGTATGCATGCATGCATGCATGCATGCATGTATGTATGTGTATATATATATATATATGTAAACTCATCTACATTCTTATACACCACGCACGGTAGGCACACTGTGAATGTATGTTCGTAGTGTTCGCAGCGCTATCGTTCCGCAGCTTGTTCGACTCGGCCCGCTGCCGCCGCCGCATCCCCCGAAAACCCGCCGAACGCTTCCGAACGCCGTCGAAAGGCCGTCGCGACGGCGGCGGGGCGAGGCTGCGGGAGCGAGCCGGAGGGCGCCCGCGGAAGCCCCTCGGTGGCGGGAGGCCCTCACGCGCCACCTGGACACCCCGCAGGGCTGGACCCGGGGCAGGAAGTCCGTGCTGGTTGTCGTCATGGACTGGAAGGCTTGGCGGGCGGGGCAGCAGGAGGAGGGGGAGGAGGAGGAGGAGGAGGAGGAGGAGGAGGAGGAGGAGGAGGAGGAGGAGGAGGGTAAGGAGGAGAAGGGATGATGATATCGATGAGGATGAGGATAGTGATACATGGTTGTGGTTGTGGTGATGATGATGGTGCTAGAGAATGTCGACGACGACGATGCTGATGATGAGGTTAGGGATGCTGATGGTGATGCTACTGATGGTTGCGATCATGATGCTGATGCGGATGCTCGTGATGGTGATGCTGACGATGCTTATGATGAGTTTGATGGTGATGATGTTGTTGATGGTCGGGTGATGATTATGACGATGGTCAGAACGGGGATGGTGATGAGGAGGATGCGGATGATGCTTACTCTGATTATGATGATGCTGATGATGATGCTGATGATGATGATGCTGATGGTGATGATGATGATGCTGGTGCTGATGCTGATGCTGATGCTGATGATACTGCTGATGATGATGACGTCGGTGGTGGTGGTAGTGGTGGTGGTGATGATGGCGATGCTGATGCTAATGCTGACGCTGATGATGATGATGATGATGATGATGATGATGCTGATGCTGATGGTCATGATGATGATGATGATGAGTATGACCATGATGCTGATGCTGCTGATGATGATGATGCTGATGATGGTAATGCTGCTGATGATGATGCTGCTGGCGCTGATGCTGATGATGCTGCTGATAATGATGATGAAGATGAGGATGCGTGTGAAGCTGATGATGAGTGTGAAGATGATGGACATGCCGAGCATGATTAGCATGACGAGGATGCTCATGGTGCTGCTGATGATGACGATTCTGATGATGATAACGATGATGCTGCTGCTATGGATGTTGATGATGATGATGATGAGGATGAGGATGAGGATGAGGATGAGGATGATGATGCTGCTGATGATGATGATGATGATGATGCTGATGATGATGATGATGATGATGATGATGATGATGATGATGATGATGATGATGCTGATGATGATGATGATGATGATGATGATGATGATGATGATGATGATGATGATGAGATGATGATGATGATGATGATGATGATGATGATGATGATGATGCTGCTGATGATGATGATGATGAGGATGGGGAGGAGGAGGAGGAGGAGGAGGAGGAGGAGGAGGAGGAGGAGGAGGAGGAGGAGGAAGACAAGAGGAGGATGAGGAGACGGAAGAGAAGGAGGAGAAGGAGGAGGAGGAGGAGGAGGAGGGAGGAGGAGGAGGGGGAGGAGGAAGTAGGAGGAGGAGGAGGAGGAGGAGGAGGAGGAGGAGGAGGAGGAGGAGGAGGAGGAGGAGGAGGAGGAGGAGGAGGAGTTGGAGGAGTTGGAGGAGGAGGAACGGAGGGAAAGCAAGGGGTAAGAGGTTTCTCGGCGATTTCCTGCCTCTCTGGCCTTCCCGGGAGGCTTCGTGTCGCCGCTGCTGGATCCCCATCAGGAATTCTGGCCAGAACGCGACCCAGGACGACACAAGCCATGGCTGCGGATGTGGGCCCGATTGCCTAAAAGGCACGTCCACGTGATGATATCAGAACGCTATGCAAAGGCCACGGCATCCGATGCATCTCCAGAACCGCTGGGTCCCAGATATTCCCGATTCATCCCGATCCTATGTCGTCCCGAGCCTGCCCCTGTTTTGTCTCAGCGAGCTGCAGGCAGGGAGGCGCTTCGCTCTCTGCGTCCTCGCCGCGCCCCTGGCTTCTGCCGCTCCCTTGCCGTCCTTTCGTCAGGTAGTAGATCACGGAGGCTTCCGCTCGCCTTGGACTGAACGTAGATCGGCAAACAGCGCCCACTAGGCTTTAATAGCGCCCAGTGGCGCCGAGTAGCTTTCAATAGCGACCAATAGCGCCCAACAGCGCCACGTGGGGATGTCCGCTTCGAGTGCGGTTGGGCGCGCTATTGGACGCCGTGGGGACGAGCAACAGCTTCTGCGAGCTGCTTTTGAACCTTCTGGTCGGACGAGGGCGGGGGGGGGGCAGCAACGGGGGGGGGGGGGGGTAGCGAATCGGCTCACGTACGGCAGGTTCGCGGCGTGTCGGCGCGGCGGCGACCCCGCCGCGGGCGTTCAAGGTTGAACACCGCCAGTGGCCTCGGATCGGCCAATAGGCACCGATCTGCCGATCGGAACGCCGGCGATCGTTCAATGTTGCACGAGCCGCGCGATGTTAGGAACCATCTCCAGGGTCGTGGCTTTGTGCTGTTCCAACCTACTTCAGCTTGGACCACCAGGAAGAACTTCGAGCACCAAGAAAGTTCCGAGAATGGAGGGTTTTCACGTGTCGGGCATTGGGAGGCGATACTCGTTCGACACTGTTTCGATACTTTACTTTCCTGGGTGCTCGAGATTATTTCTGGGATGTGGTCCCTGAGTGCGATGGGAGCCACCTGATCGTAGCTGAGTTCTTCGGCGTCTCCCGGCGCTGGCGGCGCCAGGCGGCGGGGCCGAGGCCAGCCGTACGCGGCAGGCTTCGTCTCCGACCCCCCCCCATGGGCCCCCCCACCCGCCCCCCCTTCGTCGGGCCCGAGCCCTCCTCCCTCCCCCTCCCCTCCCCCCTCCCCTCCCCCCTCCCCTCCCTCCCCCTCCCCTCCCCTCCCCCTTCCCTCCCCCTTCCCTCCCCCTCCCCTCCCTCCTCCCTCCCCCCTCCCCTCCGAGAAAGCCTTTGGGGGGGTCTGGTAGACCCTGCTATCGTTGCAGCACCGAGACTGTATGGAGTGCAACCCATGTGGGGCGACTCGCCCTGCCGAACCTGCAACCTCCTTCGCAACAGCCCCTGCTCCCCTCGTGTCCGCCTCGTGGGCGCGCCCCCCCCCCTCCCCCTCCCCGTCCTGGGACGCCCCCCCGGGGAAGTGGGCCCGGGAGGGGGGTGCCTTCCCCCAGGACCAGGTCTTCATCCTGAGTCGTTCTCTGACAGGGTTAGACCCTGGGAGGTCACAAACGATGCAGAACCCCAGGGCCCGTTTCCCTCAGGACCCTTTTTTTCATGGCGAAAGGTCGCACTCAGGACCCCTTCCTTCAGCACCGACCCCTCGCCAGAAACGGCCCCTGTCCTCCGGACCCCCCCCAGTTCCGGCAAGACACCCCTGCTCCCCCTCGCCCCAATCCTCAGCCCGCCTCCCAGCGGGGAGGACAGGGGGTCTCCTGTGGAGAAGCTGGCGCCCTGCTGACCACCCATGTGCCCGCAGGGCTGGGTGAGCAGCTCGAGGGACAGGCGAGGGTGCCCAGATCTCCGACGATCTGTTTTTTGTTCAAGCCGGGCGTTTGTCTTCGGTGTCGGCCTGAGGGGCCCATTATCGGTCCGCAGGACAATCCAAATTGGACTCGGAAACTCGCCTCGGGGAAGGGGTCGAGGCCGTGGGATTTACAACGATACGGTAGCATCGCTCGCGCATCCAGCGGACTCTTCAGTCTCTGCATCTCGGTCCCAGCTGGAGTGATCCTTTGTCCGCCGAGGTGGGCGACAAGTCCATGTCGCCCTACTCCCAGCAGGAGCACAATCCGATTCCAAATTACAGGCCAGTTCTCCCATCACTCTCTGCTTTTGCATCTGGGCGAGTGCCACTTGCCTCGTGTATCGCCAAAGGGGATTGGAAGGAAGGCTGCTTTCATTAATCACGTCCAGACCCGCATGCCATGAGCCACAACATTTCGATTGCAAATCTTGGGAGGTTTCGTGAGTCAGCGGCCCTGGGATTTCGTTGGTGCTCGCATGGCACAGTCCTGGAAAGTTCGGTCTGATCCAGCCTATTCTAATGCAATCTGGTTCAATCTGCTTGACTAGCTCGTTCATGTGGACGATTATTTCTTTGACCCACCCTGCACGTACTTCCCAAGAGTTGCAACCTAGGAAAGGATCGTCACACGCTTCCGGCGGCAGCATTTGCGCAGTCTGCTAGCTTCTCCCCACAGTGTTGTATGTGAGGTTCGATGGTGCTTGCCGATGTTGTGATCGCTTCCTCCCTCTACTCTCTTCTTCTCTCTTTCCCGATAACTGGCGTTTCCTAAACGGCCCTGGGCGTTTGCCAAACAGCCCTGCCCTGTTTGATGCCTTCTGTGGGCGCGTTTCCCAAACGGCTTCGCGTGTCGGGGTGATTATGATGCGGGTGAAATTTGGAGGAGGGAGGAGGAGGGAGTAGGAGGAGGAGGAGGAGGAGGAGGAGGCGGAGGAGGAGGAGGAGGAGAAGGAGGAGGAGGAGGAAGATGAGGAGGGGGAGTAGGGAGGAGGAGGAGGAAGGACGAGGGAGGAGGAGGAGGGAGGAGGAGGAGGAGGAGGAGGAGGAGGAGGAGGAGGAGGAGGAGGAGGAGGAGAGGAGGAGGAGGAGGAGGAGGAGGAGGAGGAGGAGGAGGAGGAGGAGGAGGAGGAGGATCATGCGGAATGGGGAGGCGTTCGAGAAGGCCGGCTCCCATTTATCATGGGCTGCGGTCGGGGACGGCCGCGCTTCCCACGGGGACTGGAATGGCCATCGAGAAGCAGACCGACTGGCGAGGGATAGGCCTGCCACTTTTCGAGCTTCGGACGACAGTGGTTGCACGAGATGGCCAAGAGGGTTGCCAGGTGCGGTGCCCTGATGTGAAGGACCACGTCGGGCACGAGTGACTGAGCAAGATTGTGCTGCACGTGTTGCCTGGCTTGCCCATCCCCGCATGGTGTACCACGTCTGACGACAAGGAGGACGAACGATGGCGGACAGCCGCCTCGACCTAGGAGGACGGACATCCGCCTCTCGGAGAAAATGGGTACGTCCCAGAGCCGTGGTCTGTCCGTGGGCCTAACATCATTCAGCAAGCCGAGGCGCTGGGCGCTGATAGCGATCAGGTCGACGCATTGATCTCATGTGCACAGTGTGAGGGTAGCGTGTCATACGAGAGCAGGGCCAGTGCGTCCATGTGTCTTCTAGGTGGAGGCTGCAGAGGTAAGCTCGAGACTGATGCCATGAGCCTCGACTGGCTCCTGAAGGGTCTGCGCCTCTTGCCCAGCGTATCTCCCTCAAGGTCCGCACCGCAAAGGGGTCCTGGAAAGCTAGCTCAAGTGAGGGGGACGTGGTTTCTGAACGGAGTTTCACCGCGCTCTGGCCCTGCGCGCCTGGCTGCTGCTGCTGCTGCCCCCCCCCCCTGGCTGCTCATCGTCGAACTCGTCGACGTCTGAGCGTCCTTTCTTCCTCTCGGTCCCCCACCCCCGCCCGCCGGCCAATTCGCTAGTCAGGGCCCCTCGCCGGCTAATTCGTTTCTCGCTGGAGCGGAGTTCGCCGCCTCGCCGCTGACGAAAAAAAACAGTTTCTGAAGGGGGCGGGGGCTGAAGCTGCTGGTGGTCGAGGGCGTCTTCTGGGCGGAGTGACACCCCGAGGACGCGGGAGGCACTCAGGTGTGGATCACGCCCGAGGTTGGGGTCTTCTCGGCCTTGCCAAGTCGGAGGCCCTGGACTCTGGGAGGTTCGTGCGAGAGGCGGCGTCTTGTCGCTACAGGCCCTCCTCCTCCTCCTCGTCCTCCTCCTCCTCGTCCTCCTCCTCCTCGTCCTCATCCTCCTTCTCCTCGTCCTCCTCTTCCTCCTCCCTCCTCCTCCTCCCTCCTCCTCCCTCCTCCTCCTCCTCCTCCTCCTTCTCCTCTTCCTCCTCCTCCTCCTCCTCCTCCTCCTCCTCCTCTCGGATTGAGAAATCCTCACGGGGGACAAAAAGGATGATGATGGGGAGGAGGGAGGATAGTCAGGTCTGCGTCTGGGGTTGTTGCTCTGATGCACGCCTGCTGACTCCCGTCGCGGGTGAGGTCGAAGATCTTCCCCGCCGTGAACGAGGCTTTCACGAGGAGCTGCCCTCATTACTTACCCCCTCGGCCTTCCCGTCCACCTCGTCTTCTTGGCACTGCTTCTCCTCCCCTCCTGCTAGGCCCTCTCTCCTCCTCTGTCCTCATCCGCTCATCCCTCCGCTCCTCCCTCCGCTCCTCCTCCGCCTCCTCCTTCTCGTGCCTTCTCTCGTCCTCGCCTCTTCGTCTTCCTGCTCCTCCTCCTCTTCCCCTGGTCCCCCTTCTTTTTGCTCCTCCTGCTTTCTCTTGCCCTCCCGCTCTTTTTCCTTTCTCGTCCCCCGCTCCACCTGCCCGGAGATCAACTGGTGGCGCTTGTTGATTTTCGGTCAGGTTTGGGGAAATGTTGTACCCAAGTGAAAGTCCCGCCACCGTGCCAGCCTAGCAGCGCAGCATGACATACACTGAGTTTCATACTCCCTCCAGTCCACTGCTATGTTTGTATTGCTGCGGGTGTTGAACACATCCTTGCAGCCTGGCTCTCCTCGTCCTTCATTCGATCTCTTGTTTCTCCTCTTCTCATCTCCACCCCTCATCCCATCTTGATGGCATCCTGGAGGCCTCTCTGTCTTTTGTAGTGTTTCTGCTTCGTTGTTTGTGTTTCCCCACCATCCTGTGATGTTGGGTCCTCGTTTTGAGGAGACAGCGCCCCGCGTGTCACTCCTTCCTCCGTCCCTCCTTCTCCCCCTCCTCCCCCTCCTCCAATCCTGGCTTCTGTCCTCCGCATGTAAAACATATCGTCACACCCCTCACCCGTTTCGTGGCCCCATACGGATTTCCTCCCAAGACCCCAGTGGCTGCGTTCGCATGGCGTCACCGCGCTCATGCCGGCGCACCCCTCAAACGCTTCGTGGCCCCACATGGAGCTCCACCGAGGGCCCCAGCGGCTGCGTCCACATGACGCCACCGCACTCGGCACACCCCTCACCCGTTTCGTGGCCCCATAGGGAGCTCCACCGAAGGCTCCAGTGGCTGCGTTCCCAAATTACCACCGCACCCATTTCGGTGCACCCCATCACACGCTTCATGGCCCCATAAGGAGCTCCACCGAAGGCTCCAGTGGCTGCGTTCGCATGGCACCACCGAGACAAGCACCCCTCAAACGCTTCGTGGCTCTACAGGGAGCTCCACCGAAAGCGGTATCGACAACGTGGTACCTACAATTGCATATGCTTGGGCCCTTCGCCAGGATTCGTTGCCCATCCGCTCTGTGGAAGGTCCTCGTTTCGAATAACTCCACCCCACATCTCCTCCTCCGCCTCGTCCTCCCCCTCTTCCTGTATCCTGCCTCCTGCCTTCTCCTCCCTCCTCCTCCTGCCTCCTGGGCTCCTGCCGACTGCGCAGCTGCCGCCACCTTCGTGGGCTCCTGGGAGGCCCCGTGGAGTGGGGTGGCCACGCAGGTTCAGCGGGGACCTCACTGCTCCCTGGGGAGCTGTCAGCCAGCTGTGCACCTGTCGCCACGCTCGCGGGCTCCTGGGAGGTCCAGCGGGGCGGGGGGCCCCGCAGCTCCAGCGGGAGCCTCGCTGCCCTCCGGGTGTTGCCACTCGGGGCAGCTGGCGCCACTTTCTCGTAGGCCCCTGGGAGGTTCCGCGGAGTGGTGGCGGTGGTGGTGGTGGTGGTAATGGTGATGGTGATGACGATGACGATGACGATGACGATGATGATCATGGATGATGATGATGATGATGATGATGATGATGATGATGATGATGATGATGATGATGATGATGATGATGATGATGCTGATGGCGATGCTGATGCTGATGCTGATGCTGATGCTGATGCTGATGCTGATGATGCTGATGCTGATGGCGATGCTGATGCTGCTGATGCTGATGCTGATGCTGATGCTGATGCTGATGCTGATGCTGATGCTGATGCTGATGCTGATGATGATGATGATGATGATGATGATGATGATGATGATGATGATGATGATGATGGCGATGCTGATACTGATGATGATGCTGCTGCTGCTGATGATGATGATGATGATGATGATGATGGTGGTGGTGGTGGTGGTGGTGGTGGTTGGGGGGGGACATGCAGAGCCAGCGGGGACCTCGCGGCTCCAGGGGGGGGGCTGCCACTTGCGCAACGGTCGCCGCCACAGTGAGCGGCTTGAATAAGGAACACCTACTCTTCAAAAGGGGCTCGGCCGATCCTTAGCTTTGCATGCGTTCCGCGACCTCTCTGGCGCTAGAAAGGGGCTCGGCCGTTCCTTCGGACTTCGTAGACTTACTCGGAAAAATGGGGCTTCATCGTTCCTGAGGTCAGGCCGATGACTGTATCGTGGGCTCCTGGGAGGCCCACCGCAGTGGGGGGCCGCGCAGGTCCAGCGGGGAGCTCGCGGCTCCCTCGGCGAGCCGTCGGCTGTGCAGCCGTCGCCTCGCTCGCGGGCTCCTGGGAGGTCCAGCGGAGCGGGGGGCCATGCAGATCTTGAGCTGCCGCGCGAAAGCTGGGCGAGGGCTGCTAAAACCGTGGCTGCTACAACGGCCCTCCCGGAAGGAAGAAACAACTTCCCGGAATGAGGCGCGCACGCGAAACAGTCAACGGGCTTCTTCCCGGAAGGACGAAGACAACTTCCCGGAGGTCGATTTTAGCAGCCACGGATTTAGCAGCCATTGGCCCGGCTTCCGACGTGCAGATCTTGAGCTGCCGCGCTTCGCTGTTTCCAGTTGTCGGCTTCGGGGGCTGCGAACTGCACAGCTGTGGCCACTAGCTTTCAGGAAGCACGTGGCTGCGGCCCGACGATCTTTCGGGGAAGAGTTCGATGGCATTGCGGATTCGTTACGCTATACTTTTGTGATGAGCGGCCCTGGATATCGTCGCCCCATGTGTACAAAGGATTGGGTATGTCCCTGGGTACAGTGGAGGACCATGCCAAGAAACACCTTGCTTGCCTCTAGGGTGCCCTGGGTTTCTTGAGTTTCGATGGTTTTGCTATGGAGAGCGTGACGTTCCCACACCAAAAACCAAAATGGACGTCCTGAGGTCTCAGGGTTGGGTTTCTCGTGGAAGGCTTCTTGTGGTCGGGCCCCTACTTGTCCATCTGGACCACTTGGGGACCTGGCGGCCTGGTGACTTGCCAGCGCGTCAGCGCAGCAGGAATGGCATTCGGCTTAGGACCCGCGCTCGCGCGGGTCGTAACCTCGACCTCGCTTCGAGGGCAGGATTAAGTCGGGTCTGTCCCTCTACAGGAGGAATATTCAAAAGTAGTGGAAAAATGCGCTGGGGACGATTCTCGTTCAAAATCTGCCTGTAGGGGGACATGCCCGACCTCAGGGCAGGAGGAGCGGGGAAGGGGCGATCTGGCTGGAGGTCGGGGAGGTGGCGTGCGAGGCCCGCGCATTTCGGGCTGGGTGCTGAACTGGCGCGGGTCTTGAGCCGAACTTCTTCTTCGCAATGGTCTTGGAAGATGAGGGGGGCGGAGGGGCAGGAGGCTGAGTCTAAGTCCCGCCCCTGGTGCTCACGCAAAACGGAGCCAATATTTGATCACCAGTGCGCTATTGCACTAGTGATGTGTAATGCCTGTCGAAGACGCCTACGGCGAATCATCGCCGCCCCCTGCCTTCTAGAATCGCCTTTGTGGCCGAGCGTTTTGGCAAGAGCTCTTCCAAGCTATTGGACCATGTGTTCCCCCAGCCGTTGTGGAACCCCTTCGGGGAACACGTGGGGGAGGATGGCGGGGAAGATTAAGAGGAGGCGGAGGTGGAGGATGAGGAGGAGGAGGAGGAGAAGGAGGAGAAGGATGAGGACGAGGGGGCATTTTGGGAGCCTCTGGGAACAGTCTTGGAGCCTCCTGGGAGCTTCTTGGGAGCCTCTAGGATGCATCTTGGGTGCCCTTTTGGAGGCCTCTTGGGGGCCTTCGGGGGTTTCTCGGGGGGGGGGCATCTTTGGCCTTCTTGGTGGGCTCTTAGCCCGTCTAACGCCGTCGGAAACCGTCTTGGGGGCCACTCTGGGCCGACTTGGGGCCCTCTTGGGGTGCTCCAGGGCCGTCTTGGAGGCCATCTTGGGCGTCTTGGAGGCCTCTTGGGCCGTCGTGGGGCCCTTGGGCCCGTCTTGGAGGCCTCTTTGGCTGCTCTGGGGCCATCCTGGAGGCCTCTTGGGCGATCTTGGGGCGATCTTTGGAGGCTCTTGGGCCGTCTCGGGCCGTCGGAAGGCCGAAACGAAGCAAATGCCACAATCCCTAAACACCTAGGGGAAATCAATGATTTTGGCCTCTTCGGGCCTTCCTGGGGGCTCTCTTGGAGGCCTCTTAGACCATCTTAGAGCCATCTTGGGCCGTCTTGGTGGGTTCCTGGCCCGTCTGGCGCCGTCGGAAGCCGTCTTGCGGGCCTCTCTGGGCCGACTTAGGGCCTTCTTGGGGTGCTCCAGGGCAATCTTGGAGGCTTCTTTGGGCGTCTTGGAAGCCTCTTGGGCCGTTTTTGGGCCCTCTTGGGGCCGTCTTGGGGGCCTCTTGGATAATCCCGAGGCCATCCTGGAGGCCTCTTGGGCGCTCTGGGGGCGATCTTGGGGGCCTGTTGGGCCGTCTTGCGTCGTCGGAAGGCCGACAAAGAGCAAATGTCAAAATCCACCCAAAACATTGGAAAATCAATTATTTTCGCATCTTCGGGCCCTCCTGGAGGACCTCTCGGAGGCCTCTTGGGCCGTCCTGGAGGCCTCTTGGACACCTCTTGGGTAGTCTTGGGCCGTCTTGGAGGCTTCTTGGACGTATCTGGAAGCATCTTGGACCCTCTCAGGCCGTCTTGGAGGCCATCTTGGCCATCTTGGAGGCATCTTGGAGGCCAGCTTGGGGCATCTTGGAGCCGTCAGAAGCCGAAAAACCATTTGCAGCCACCTTTCATGCACTTTTCTGGGTGGCCGGCGGGACGGGCCGGCCGAAGTCCCAGGGGCAGTCTTTTTGGAAAAAGAACCAAAACCAAACCCGAAAGGGTCTAGCACGCCGGGCACCCCTGTGGCAAGCCAACAGGGGGCGGCGGATTTAGTGGCCTTCGGCTCATCCC